CTCAATTTTGTCATGATCCCAATAGCCGAGATGTTGTTCAAAACTGTGAACTAATCTCACTGGTGAATCAAAAATCATGAGAAATTAAGTCGAGTTATGTATTCACTTCAGGATTGAGATAATTATACAAATATACTTAAGTTGTGACAATTAGGTTTAGAGTTCTGTAAACGGTTTTTACTCTAACCTAATCAGTCACATGGTCTATTCAACATGTTGTGAGCATGTCTAGATCAACCACAGAGTCCAACTCCCATGCCCCGAGACCAGCATCATATGGTTCGATCTAACAGTCATAATCGGATTCGATTGCCCAATCGATCCTAAGACTGCGAATATCTATTTTAAACTATATCAGAAGAGTTTATCCGGCAGGGTTTCCCTGACTCTTCTTTCGTTGATAACAGTCTATGGACTAAGCAATATCACTAACACTCTTGAATATGTATTAAAACATAACTTTATTTTATTTTATAAAATCAGCAAAACAATAATGTCTGACATTTGTCATTTCACAAATAATAAATTTCATCCTACTTTATGGACACATTTCCAACATTACCTCCTAACACGAAGTGACACGAATTGACACGATTAACTATATGTGTCATCTGCAATCTAATAATATGTGTTATAACATGAAAGTTTATATGACATATTAAATACAAATAATGTGAATTTTAATATTTGTAGGTAAAATTCATTTATTTTTCTTAAAGGAAAAGATAAATTGACCAATAAACATATTAAACATGTCTTGACCGAATTAAATAAGTAATTATTATATTAGTTATTTATTCAATATATTAATTTAAATGAGTTATACGGGTTAACACAATTAGCACGATCAGTAAATGAGCGTGTTTGGATTGAAATTTTTTACACGTTTAATAAATAGATTGTATTTAGATTGATATTTTCTGACACGATTAATAAACGCGTTAACACGAACACGACTCACTAACACGAGTTGCCGCCATTAATAAGGAACTTGTACTATAATGAATTATAAAAGGGTGCATGATTGTAGAAAATTAGTCATGACATGGTCGGCATCATTTTAATTTTTAGGTACAAAGCAATTCTCCATCTTTTAAGAATACATAAATATTTTCTCTCTCTTTTTTTTCACATGAAAAAAAAATATATTTTATATGCCCTCTTTGACGTCATCGCTACTAAAAAATTATAAGTGACTATTTAAAAGAAATGGATTTATTAAGTTGCTGCGTAATGCATGATGGTATGTATACGAATAAAAATATGACAATTTGTAAATGTAAACTAATAGTTATTATAAAAAATAACTAATAATAGTTAATTTACAAGAAAATATGAATATTATATTATAGCATTCTTCTGCTACAATTTGAAATGTCATTAATTTAGGAAGACAGCAATCTCATTGCTTGAGTTATGAAAATTTCAGACAGCCTAATCACATGAACAACAATAATAGCACTAATCTAGCTAATTAGGACTTTGTCAGGAGAGAGAATAATGATGATTATTTAGCCCGATAGTTCTAGTTTATAACTTTTTCATATTTCACAAGTAACGCAATTACCCTCGAAAACTTTTGACGTTTGGTGTGTTACACGCGAAAAGGAATAACAATCAATGCTAACCCCAAATAACTAGAATAGACTCTTATGTCTCTTATTTTTGTCATTTTTATATCACTTTAATAATATCATATCAATGTGAATTGAAATTTCATATCATTTATATTAAGTAAAGTTTGATGAAAATCCAAAAAATGAAAATTTCCATTTTCATTAATCAATTCTTTAAAAGATCTATCAAATTTTGACTGAGTAACTGACTTGATCAATAAATATTTGATTCTTTTTTCAACTTATAATTGATTCACAACGTCATGACAATGAAACAACATTTTTTATACTTTTAAGCTCCATTCATTTCACCGATTCGAGTTTAAAATTTGAGTTTTATTACAGTGAAAAGCTCTCAGAAACAGTCACATCTAACTTTTTTACTACATTAAAAATCTTTCACATAAAAGCGCATCTCAATTCAAATTAAAAACTCGAATCAACGAACTAAACGGGCCCTTAGTACGGGCGACGGGGGCAATGAGGATTGAACATATATTTCAAAGGGTAAAAATGAGAATACATATACTTCTATTTCATTTATTACTTTTTTTTTTTTTTCCAATCAAGCGACAGATAGAAAAGAAAAAGAAAAGAGTAGTGAGGAGTGAGAAACGTGGAAGCCTCACCACCGTCGCTTTCAAAAAAAAAAAGAAGGTATTTTCTCTTAAAAAATAAAGCAACAACAATAATAAAGAATAAAAAAGTTTTTTTAATAAAGCGACAATAATAACAATAAATATAAAAGAAAAGGAATTTGGTATTTGGACGTAATGAAAACCAGTTCTTACTCAGTAAGCATTAATTAATTAAATGAAAGGGATAAAAACAGTGTTCTTTTGTATTTGTATTGTTTAAGTTGTTCCTTATGTTTCTTCTTCTTCTTCTAATTTTTCTTCTTCTTCAACTTTTATTCTTTGTTCTTTCTTAAAACAAAACACCACTCTTTCTCTCTCTTAATTTAGTCAACTCTTTCTCTGTTTTCCTTAATCCAACACAACAAAACAGACTTTCAACTCAAAAACACCCACTAAAACTTTCATGCATATAGTTTTCTCTCAATTTTTTCTTTTCTGGGGTTAATTTTCTGTTTTGGGATTCCTCTGTTTTTTTTTTTTTTTTTTTGTGATTATTATTTGTTGGGAGATAAGATAAGATATTAAGATGGCTGCTTCTGAGTTCCAGAGTGAGCAACAAAAACAAAAACAAATACAGAAGAAAGAAGGTTGCATGCAATTGCAAGTGGATAATTATTCCTCTACTCTTCTGGTATTCTCTCTTCTCTTCTTTACTTTATTTCTTGTATATATATATATATATATATATATATATGTACACACACACACACACACATATATATATATATATATAAACGTAAAGATGAATCAATAAACATAAGCGCTGCCTTAATTTGATTCTTTCAACAAATGGACCTTCACTGTTTTTTATTCTTTCAATACATTCATATATATATATATATATAATATGCATATCATTTTAGTTATTAATTCAGATATTGATGCTCAAAATCTCCACAACCCATGATGGGAAATTATACTATTATCATTAAACATAATCAGTTTCTTAAATATTTGATTATTTGAACTATATTGGGTTTGATTAAAATTTCAGGGTCATTCCACATCTTCAACTGCAACAGATTCCATAGCTCCAGTTCAAGAAAATCATGACAATCACAATCACTCTCAGTCTTCTCCGTATCCGACCACAACAGCAGCTTATAGCTACTACTATCCAGGTTTTGGACATGAAAAGCACTTTATTTGGGCATGTTTACTTTTTCGAATGTGTAATACTAATGGAAAGGAAAAGATTTCATTTTGGAAATGAAAGAAATAAGACAAAAGGAATCATTGATTCATATTTCACTTTCTAGTGTTTATTAACTCTGGGATTTGGAATTCTAATAACGTTTGGGGTTTATTTCAATTCAAAGGATTTCTCATTCTCTATAAATCAAGTTTACCACACCAAATTGGCATTTCTCATATTGCTGTGAACGTAAACACATGAATAGGTGGAGAAAGGATACAATCCTTTAATCCCCTTTCTCATTCTAATAGTATTTTTGCAGGTTACAATGGAGATTTTTACAACCAAGGATACTACATTGCTGGTAATGCAGTGGATCCTCAATACCCTGTAAGTCTTTTTTTTTTTTTTTTTTAATTTAATTTTTAAATGCTTACATGAAGGACTTGACCTTTTGCTTTTTTTGTTTTTAGTTTTAGTTCTTTTTGAGGGTTTTTAATAATTTTTGTATTCCTAACACGAATAGGGATAGAGGCCTCTATTGTCCATGTGTTATGAGATCATGAAACAGAAAGGCTTATCAATAACTGTTATGAGTCCATACAACTAGCCTTTCACATGATCTTTACTTTTTAGTAATGAATTAATGTTAATTCTTAAAGTCCTTTTTTTTTTTCCTTTTATTTTGGGTCAGGTTCTACAAGCAGATGGAGGATCTCTTGTCTATTTGATGCCAGGATTTTATACTGGATACGATGCTTATCCACCACCCTTTAATACAATTGGTGTTGACGGACAATATGTCGGTCAACAGGTCTTTCCTCTAAGTCCCGTGTTTCAATCTCCCATTCCTTCGCCCGAATTTAGCGCGACTTCAATCCCTCATGGGGACTTAGTGCAGACACCCTATCTTTGGGGTTCATCTCTTGTTGTTGGAGATGGCTCTTTTGAAAATGGATATGTTGGAGCTTTGGAAATTCCGGCCTCCAAACCTAATATCTCTTCAGGCTCCATTACTCCATCTTTGAAACCAGTGGACGTTTTCTCGGGACACAACAAGAAGCTAAAACCCTTGAACAAGGTATTGTTTAATCTTTCTGTTTCTTTGGTATCAATCTGCTCTTCAAATCTTGTGCTGACATTTTTTTTTAACGATATTTTAGGCTTCATCTCCTGTCTCAACTTTCCAGCCAGATTTACCAACCCAAGGTTACTACGCTGTTGCAAAATTTCCAATCTGTAGTCAACCGGTTAATTTGAAAGCGAATGTGAAGGGATGGGGTGGTACTGAAAAAACGAAAACAACAAGTAAGGTTAACAGTGTTAAAGAAGTTGATGTACACGATGAGAAGGATGATGGTTCTAGAACAATCAATGCAAAGGGTGCATTGAGGTCCGGAGGTAACGCCGGTGAATCCCTGGCTGCTGATGAGGTTAGACATTCTACCAGCATAACCTCTTCAATCAGGAAGGATCAATATAACCTCCCTGAGTTTTCAACCAAATATGATCATGCATTTTTCTTCGTGATCAAATCTTACAGTGAAGATGATGTTCACAAGAGCATCAAATATAATGTGTGGACTAGCACTCCTAATGGGAATAAGAAGCTCAATAGTGCTTATCAAGACGCACAAGAGAGGATGACAGAGAAAGGAAGCAAGTGTCCCGTCTTTCTTTTCTTTTCGGTATGCTTTACACCGTGGTCATGATTTTGATGTGCAGCTCAATTGTAACTCTTATTCCCAAATCAGTGAACAGTGCCTTGATTCTCAATCCTTTATTGTCGTGGTCAGGTGAACGCAAGTGGGCAGTTCTGTGGGGTGGCTGAAATGACCGGCCAAGTCGATTTCAATACGAGTATGGATTTCTGGCAACAGAGCAAGTGGAATGGTTATTTTCCAGTCAAGTGGCATATCATCAAAGATGTTCCGAATGCACAATTACGACACATAATACTCGAGAATAACGAGAACAAGCCCGTAACAAATAGTAGAGACACTCAGGAGGTTCGCTTGATTGATTATCATTTTGAGTAGACAAGTTTCCAGATAACTTCGTTGCTACTACTGTTATATGTTTTACTAGTGAATATGTCGGCTAAGATTCCTTTTCTCACTGCATCTTTTACAGGTAAAATTTGATCAGGGTATCAAAATGATGAGTATTTTCAAAAATTATATATCAAGTACATGCTTATTGGATGACTTTGATTTCTACGAAAACCGCCAAAAGATAATGCAAGAAAAGAGGATCAGGCAATCTTTTCCCCGTCGTCGCGATCTGCAGGTTTGCTCCTTCTTTTCTCTCTTTCCTTCCTGGTTCTTATTTCCGTTTCCTTTTTCACCAAATTTTGTGACATCATCCCAATTTGACAAAGAAGAAAGAGTGCATATTTATCTTTTTAATACTGTTGATAACTTTATGTGGATGCCTGTTGAAGTGCAATGATTTATAATGGTTTAGTAGGATTAGGAATAAATATGTTATCAGGATCTTAAGGTTCTACAACACATTATCTTTTTGCAAGACAAGTAGGTAAGAATACATTAAAGCAGGGTTCCGAAATACAAGCAGCAGCAAAGTGGAGATTGTTCTGCCACTGAAATTTCTCTAGTGGAGAAGTGACTTTATTCTATTCTTAACAACAACAATACATAAGAAGAAGAGACTATTTCCATTCTCCCCATTTCCTTCAAACTTTTACCACTCATACTCGTCTCCTATCTATCTAATGGTACACAAATTGGGAATTATGTAGTTAAGTTTAAAATATAATTTTCTTGCAGCAGAAAGTGGACGAAATAACCGCGGGCTTTCAGTCGGTAGATCTATCTAATGTGAAGAACACCTGACCTGAAAAAAAAAAAAAAAAAAGAATCGATCAGTCATCTCAGCTGTAACAACATTTGATGCTGATGCTCCTTACTCAAGAGAATAAAAATTTCAAAGCAGATGGAAAAATTGAAAATATTAAAGCCTTTTTCTTGACAGAATAGAATAGGGATCACTATAGTGGGGCTCATTTGGTGTTAGAAAGTAGCTTTTGATATGGTTACTTGATATGGTTAATGGGAGTTTGTTACAGAAATATATTTATGTTTTCTCCCTCCCTCCTTCCTATTATATAGATATAGATTTAATGGACTCTCCACATAAATGTGTAAACCCTTCATTTTTCACCCCCACACAAAACCTGTTTTCAGGGCTTGACTACAAGGGCACAATTGTAATTTAGAAGGGCAAAAAGGGTTGTTAGTGGGTGGTGATTCTGTAAAACATTGATGTTCCAACAATCTCAATAATGAAGAAATTGGTAGTCTTCTTTTCTTTACTTTTCCTTTTTGAATTATTTGTTTATCTTTTTTTTTTTTTTTTTTTTTTTTTTTTTTTTCTCGGGGGGGGGAGATGGAAGGTGGGATGAGCATGTGAAGTGGGATTCCAAACTTGGATAATTTATTTATTTTTTTGCTTGTGTTTAGAGCTAAAGAAGTATGCAGGGTTGTGGGAATCAAATATAAATAAATAATAAAGATGGCTAAAAAGTGGATTCGTTTTATTGGTACGCAACTTTTCCCATGAACAAATAACCTTTTTTTTTTTTTTTTGGGATGAATTCCATGAACAAATTATTGAAATATGCTCCCGTAATCCATGGGTTCTTGGTCAAAAATTTACAACATTAGGATTTCAAAGTCGTTGTTTTTACAATGTAGTTGTCTCATTTCCATCTCCTCTGTCTCTCTCTCTTTCTTCTTTATTCTCTTTCTCTTTGTTATCTTTGAGCGATTCAATCAATTTCAACATGGTATCACAGCCATACTTGGCTCCTTGGAATTCTTTTGTTTTTTCAGTCCAAGCGTCTGTTGTCTTGTCCATTGTTCTGTTGTTGTTTCTTTTCTTCTGTTTCTTTGATCCAAAACAGACTACCTTTTTTGCCCCATCAACAGTACTCTTATTCGCCTATGTCCAGCAGGTATCTTTAGTCTTGTACTTTGAAGTTCTTTCTCAAAGGATGTTCTAAGCTCAAACTATGAGTCTGTTGTTTAATTTCGTCATTCAAAACATGTTGATCTGAGGTTGAAGACGATCCAAACAATGTGTCGTTTTTCAGCTTAAATCTGTGTCGTTTCTCCAAAAAAAAAAAAAAAAAAAAATCGAAAACTAACGTGTTATCTTTTCAGCTTTAGTGTAGTTTTTCCAGTTACTCGTCAAATAGCCTATACCAAAACTACTTATCGTTTTTCTTACCTAAAGAATAAAATACATGTCGTTTTTCAAAAACTACGTGTAGTTGGCCTTTTTTTTTTTTTTTTTGCTAATGTTTATTTTTTCTAAATGTATGTGTCTAAAAAAAAAAAAGAAACATACTCAATACTCGAGGGGTGTTTCAACTAGTTAACTAAAAAGACTTGAAAAACTAAAAAGACAAAAAGGAAAAAAAACGAGAAAGAGAGAAAGAAAAAAGTGTTTAAACTCGTTTTTTTTTTTTTTTTTTTTTAAAAGCTATCAGAAAGAAATGCACCAACAAAAATGCGGGCCCCACAAAGCATCCAACTCAGCGACATTTTTCCACCAACTTAGCAGACGGGTGTCGTTTCCAGTTTTCCACACGAAGTGGACGTCACGTCTATGACTATCTTCAGGCTTGAGGTAGTGGAGTTGGACGTCACGTCTATTATTTCTCAGCTTCCTATATATGGACCATGCATCATTTTGTCTGAGATTACTCATACTACGTGTATATATATATATATATATGGATATATATGGATATACAAAAGCAAAAAAGCAAAAAAGCAATTTGACTAGTCAGAATTTCTCAACTACTCAAGTCTAGAGGGTATTTATCATTATGGACCAAAACTTTTCAATAACGTATGCGCAGTGGTTTTAGGGTGAGTAGTCTAGCATGCATACATGCAAATGCAGCTACACGTACGTATTATATTTATACTAATAATTTGTTCTTTTAAATCCTTTAGACAGTATAAAGGTATCAAACCTTTTATACGACCACTGTCTATATAGTGGACTGTTTAAGAAGTCCATACAAAGATTTTTTCAAAATACAGATCATCTTCTCCTTTCTTACTTCCTTAAAACCTTCTAAGGAAGAAATTGAGAAAGAAGATTAGACAGTATTACGTTCATCGAATAAACTTTGGGAGCAGCTTTCCAATTAATTATTATTAATATTCATCGATAATCATAAAATATAGCATTAAGATTATCATCTTCATGAAATGATCTCACAACAGAATCTTGTGATAATTTCTCACATGTTGAATCTTTTTCAACAAGTTTCAATTTTTCTCCATCGATCTAGAATATATATTTTGATGGAATTTTTTTCAACAAGTACGATCAGTAAGAACATCAACCACATGTCTGCATAAAATTTCTTTACATTCAAGTAAGCAGCAAATGCAATGAACATCACATTCATGCTAATGTGAAATCGATCAGCATAAAGAGACTTTAGCCATTCATTTTTTTTGGAGGTTATAATCTTCATACATGCTAATGTGAAAGTGAATAGCAGGAAAAATTCAAACATGCTGTCGCCAAATAATGTGAAAGTGAATAGAAGGGAAAAAAAAAAAATCAAACATGCTAATGTGAAAGTGAACAGAAGGAAAAGATGAAAAAGTTTCTTCAAAATTGGAGCTTTCGGTCGACAAAGAATGGTGGACCAAAAGGTTGGGAAGGAAAGGGTGAGTTGGAAGAGAGGAATGAAAATGGACGCAGAAGAAGGGGGAAAGTGGTGAGATCGATGAAGACAGAAAGCAAATTATGAAGTGGAGGGAAGTAATTGTAAGTTAAGGAACTCATTGGCAAGCTGGAAGAAACCATTGGCAAGCTGTAAAATGGTTATTGAGGTATCTAAAAGGTACCGCAAAACTGAAGCTGAACTACTCTAGAGATGCTACTGGAAGCTGTGAGGTGATAGGGTACTGTGACTCTGATTTTGCTGGTGACTTGGACAAAAGAAGATCTCTCTCGGGCTATGTATTTACAGTTGGCGGAAATGTTGTTAGTTGGAAGTCAAGTCTTTAGCATGTGGTGGCTTAAAAATAATCAGAAATTCTGATTCGGAGACAATGTAAGTTAAGGAACTCCATTAATTTACAAGCAAACATTTAATTCTCACTCACTGTCCGTAGCTAATTTCCTGATTATAAAATTGATTGATATTTGAATACTACATAGTATTAATAATAATTTGGTTGTTTAAAATTTAATTTTCATTATTTAACTTTTTAATGAATATATACCTCCAAAAATATTCGTGTTTCATGTGCATACAACAGTTTCTTCTTGTGAAACGGACACAAATATAGAAAATGCATGTGTCAAACTCGTACAAATATATTAACTGCCGTTCTATGTTGGGACGGAAAGGATTTCCCACTACTATTATGGAGATATCGCTTGTCCATATTTGAACAATATTTTCTCAGGCCGCATTGATCCAAAATTGAAATGACTGGCTGCCTCCTTAAACAATTAGCAACTTTTTTTTTTTTTTTTTTTTTTATAATTTTTCTTTTTGAGAGGTGTTGTGAGGTAAAACCTTAAACCCCACATGAGGCAATGGCTGGGCGTCACGTGGCGCAACTAAAGCATAAAATAATTTAGACAAAAAGATACGGAGTGATAGTAGAGTGCAATTCATGAACGTCGACCCTTAACAATTAAATAACTCTGCTGAAAGAGTCGACTAGAGAGAACGAATGTCACGACATGGAGACGAATGTTTTACTAGCCGTAAGCGAAGATCGCTTCCAAAGAATTGAAGGCGACGAACCCAACCACGTCCAGACTAAAGTGACAACTATACCAAGATTTGACGTGCATTAAATGTATGCAGAGTAGGTGGCGAAGCCGGTGGAGAAAATCAGGCAGACTGACTGAAATCTCGGTGATCAAAGGCTACTGTTCCGGAGTTTGGGGAAGATATCAAGGGATTTGATTAAATAATTAATAATTAACAGAGACAATATGATGTATATATACAAGGAGAATGGCATGAGAGGAGTTTGGCTATTTTTGTTGTCCATGAATGTTTCCCTTGGACTCCTGAAGACATCTGTAATGATAAAGGCTGATAAAATTTTGTCTGATCTCTGAACTTTGGCAGACCAGAGAATGGGTTCTGTCATTCATATTTTCATTTTCAGAACTAGGATAACTTTAACCATTTACGTACAATTTTCATATAGAATGGCGCTCTTGCTACAACTTGAATCTCTCAAATGTCTCTCTCACTCTCTCTCAATGTGTGTGTATTTGGAGAAAACTCTGTCCAAGAAGAAATAATCTGTCAGAATACACTTCACTCGACTAGGTTCCAACATGCTTACTATCTTTGTTGAGAAAGAAAAGTAATTTGGCAGGATAAACAAAATATCCCACTGGATTACTATATAATAAGTATACAAAATATCTTTATCAAGAAGGAAAAACAATATTGTATAATATCAAAAATACTCTACCAAAGTTGCTAAAAAAAAAAAAAAATCTACAAGATGACTGATGACATTGTAAGAACAAATCTAATTGAGTATCCTCAGGTAGTCTAAAAGTGAGATCTTTTCCTGGCATTCACGTAAATTGCTTTTTTTTTTTCTACACCATTGTTGACGCTAACAATAAGTAGATACGCGTTACAGCTATTCGTTCTTAATTAGCAGGTGAAGTCAATTAAGTAGTCGAAAATTTAGTCAAAGTCATCCAAGTGGAAAGCTCATTTCAGGGCCATACCGAGAAAATTTCTATTCCTTATTTTTCCATCCCACTGTTTACTGCACTAATAGGTAGAATATTCCTTATTTTTACTGCACACAGGTTCTGTGGCATATTTTTCTAACCCATTCTTGACTCAACCGATAAAATAGACGTTGATGGCTCTCCGACCCATACACTAAGGCAGGAAAACGTGTGAAGGCAGATCGGCCATAGACGAGACCAATCAATACGCTGACATGTGTATATTCTTTATGAATTATACTTATTGTAACATTTTATTTTTTAATGTTTAAAATGTAACATTTATTCCTCCTGAATAATTGAATAATAATAAAAAAAAAATTATCTGTTAAGTTTTTTAACAGAAATTGACATTTAATTTATTATTTTTTAATAATTTTATAATTTAAAATTTAATTTAAATTTAAAACTAATTTATATTTAAGCTTTTAATTATGATACATCTATTATTAATTGAATGTAAGTTAAAAAATTTTATAAATCTTTTTTTACATAATGAAAAAATTTATGAAGTTTTTTTTAATATTTAAAATAGTTAAAATTCAAATTAAATTTAACATATCGATATGTTAGCGTATTAAAAAATATTTCTTAATTAATTAATTAAAGAAAAAATCAAGTAGTTAAAAAAAAAAAACAAGGGCAAATTTTGAGCCAGATAACTAGGCAACCAACATTGATTATGTTGATTAGAAAAAAAAAAAAAAAAAAAAAAACCTAGGCAAACAACATTGATAAAAAAAAAAAGGGAGTGTCTTTAATAGGCCATTCTACTGGTAATATTAGTTTTTTAACTGTTAAATCTGATTAAAATCAAATGAGATTATAAAAATATGCAGACTAAATAGTTTTTGATACAAAGATAATTTTTAATACAAATATAGTTTTTGATATATATTTGACAGCTGAAAACGTCTAAAAATAAAAGTATCGGTAGTTCTATTTATTTGGTCCTATAGGAGAAACTCCTAAAAAAAAGAAAAAAAAATTAGGCAAACAACATTGATAAGAAAAAAAGAAACTGTCTCGAGTAGGTTGTGATACTAGTATGATTAATTTTCTAACTATTAAATTTGATTAAAATCAAATCAGATTGTAAAAATAGAATTATATTTGATAAAAATAGGCAAACAAATGATTATGTGCAACAGTACTAGGTACAACCTAGCTAGTCTGGGATGTTCATGATTATTATTGTACTCCAAAGTGGTCCAAACGGTTTTGAGCAACATGACTGACGTAACATTAGGATCAAATTTCAGATAATTGGGCTCTGGAATTAGAAATAAAAATGTTTCCATACTAACCTTTTGTTAGATTTGTATTTGTATTATGTGCTCTTTCACTATATTACACAAATTATTTTGCCTTTTATATATCTACAGATACAGATATTTATATTTATATATAATATTCAATACATATTTATAAATTATATATTAAATATATACTATATTAAATACAGAATTCTTATGCTAAAAGAACTAGATTTGTATATATTCAGATCGTGAAAGAAATAGGTGCGTCCCTACCTCTTTTCACTCCTCTGACCTTTCCGCCCAACTAAACAAGGTTACTTTTCGTTTTCTAGTCCTCAATCCCTCCACCCTTATTGCTCCACTTATTTTAGTAATTAACATGATCATATGTTATCTTAATTTGAGTTAAAATATATTTAACTATAATTTGAGTTGATGTTCTAATTTAAATTTGTATTTAAATGTGTATATTTTAAGTTATGATTTGAATTGAGAATCAATTTAAGTTTATGTTTAGATGGGTCAAAATTTAAATTTATATTTAAATAGTATTTTAATAAAAACTCAATAGTTATGAAATATTTTAATATGGTATATAGATAAGATTTTTTTCGTCTATTCGTAATGAACGTGTAGAAAAAAATCATCTCAATCGCAACATTATTCAATTTTTATAATGAAATCTCACACGTGCGCAAAGAAGGCGCAAACTCATAAGGATAAGCATGACAAAACCAAAAAGCTATAGCCTCCTCAGTCCTCTCTGCTGAAAAGAAAAAAAAATGAATCCAACAAAATCAAAATCCACAAGAAACAACTTTAGCTCTCTTGTGGTTCTTGCTCTATTCTTGCTTCAACAAAGCCTTCTCCATAATCTATTTCTCGTTGAGGCTACTTCTACTAAAGTATGAAATATGAATTCCTCATGAATTCTTCAAATAAACATGATATGTTATTCTATATATATACATCTACATATACATATATATGTACTGGTTATAAAAGAATCAACGTTTTCATTTCAGGTTCACATTGTGTTCTTAGGAGAGAAGAAGCATGATGATCCTGTAGCAACTAAAAAGTCTCACTATAAGATGCTATCTGACTTCTTAGGGAGGTACGTATGTATATAAATATGATATATATTTAAATTGCTACAGTGTTTCTATTATTATATATTAACATGGACAATACATAGATGTAAAATAGTATAATCTCTTAATCTCTACTTAATTTTGTAATTACTGAAGCAAGGAAGCTGCGAAGCAGTCTATTCTTTACAGCTATAGACATGGCTTTTCCGGGATTGCTGCAAGATTAACAGACGCCGAGGCCAAAGCTATAGCAAGTGTGTCATAATTCTCAAGAACTTTATCACTGTCTTCCTCTTTTATTTTTCTCTTTTATATTTTATTTCAAAGATCCATATTACTCTAGGTATGTATATATATTACCACCATATATACATTGATGATTGCAGAAATTCCTGGAGTTGTGAAGGTAATTCCAGACTACATTGTCAAAGCTCATACGACTAGAAGTTGGGACTTCTTGGGAGTCCCCCACAAATATTCGCCACAAAGTCCTTTATCTAACAATCTGGGGCAAGGAACTATTATCGGCGTGATTGATTCAGGTTAGATACATTTGGATAATGACATTAAAGGCACTATGTTTCTTTATCATTTTATTGTATATTAACCGATAAAGTAGTAATGACATTTCAAAGAGCTCAAATTTAACACAAATTTGCATCATATATATATATATATGTATGTATGTACATATTAGGTGTATGGCCAGAGTCTGAAAGTTTTAAGGATGATGGCATGCCTCCAATCCCAAAACGCTGGAAAGGCATCTGCCAAACGGGCAAAGAATTCAACAGCACAAATTGCAACAAGAAAATCATTGGCGCTCGGTGGTTCGCGAAAGGATTGCTTGAAGTCAAAGATCTGGGCATGGAACTCACACAGCTTCACAAATCGCCAAGGGATATTCATGGGCATGGAACTCACACAGCTTCAACTGCCGCTGGGAATTTTGTGAAAAATGTAAACTATAAAGGACTGGCAGCGGGAGTGGCGAGAGGCGGAGCGCCTCGTGCTCACTTGGCGATCTACAAGGCCTTGTGGGCGGAAAGTGGAGGCGCTTCATCTGATATTCTAAAAGCAATCGACAAAGCCGTTTACGACGGCGTTGACATCATATCCGCCTCTCTTGGCTCGCCCGTTCCTCTTCTGCCTTTCGATAAGGATCCAACCGCACGTGCTACTCTCTTGGCGACTGCAAAGGGTGTAACCTTTGTTGCAGCGGTCGGGAATGACGGTCCCGTCTCGCAAACTGCTACACACGCCTTTCCTTGGACCATAAGTGTTGCAGCCACCACAATTGACAGAGCCTTCCCAACGGCCATTACCCTTGGAAATAACCGCACTTTCTGGGTAATTTAAAGAAAACTGAATTCTGAATTAAATTCATCTGAAATAACGTTAATGATGTAAATTTTTTTTTTTTTTTTTTTTGGTTGCAGGGCCAAGCCCTTTCTTTTGAAAAAACTAAAGATGCTTTTGCTGACCTGATATCCTCAGAATCCATACTTGCAAACAATGCTACCTCATAAAAAGACCTCGTCTGATCTATTAATATTTATTTCGATTAATCTGCTATATATTAATTGATTTATTTTGTTGATTAATCCTGATCTTACTATACATAATATTAATGTTTGTACTTGATATTTTTGTTGAAGCTCGGAATGTTTACCTGGAAATCTGAATTCCACATTAACAAAAGGGAAAATAGTGCTTTGTTCGACATTATCAACTGACATACACGTAATGAGCGTAGCTAATGCATCAGAAGCTGTACGTATCGCAGGAGGAGTTGGCGTCATACTTGCACAGCCCTACTCTGATGCGAACAGAGAATGTAAAATTCCATGTGTTGAAGTTGATTATACAACAGCTGCACAAGTTTTAAACTACGTTAACACCGCAAGGTAATAAAAAACGAACAATTCAAACAAAATTAAAATTTCAAATTAGCTAATTAACGACTAAGAAAATATTACTAATTCTAGCTTATTCTTCTCAGTGAACAAAATAGTTCTCCAACTGCAAAGTTGAGGTATCCAAAAACAGTTACAGGAATATTGCCATCCCCGAAAGTAGCGACTTTCTCATCCAGAGGACCAAATTCCTTGATCCCGGAATTTCTCAAGGCATAGCCACTAACTTTCTATATCAATTAACTTTATAATTAACTATATAAACATATTTATTCTTAAAACATAATTTTTATGTTTAGCCGGACGTAGCCGCCCCGGGAGTGGATATCTTGGCTGCACTACCAGGAGGTAAATATGGATTTATGTCAGGAACTTCAATGGCATGTCCACATGTATCAGGGATTGTAGCTCTCATCAAATCAGTTCATAAGGATTGGTCTCCTTCTGCCATAAAATCAGCTCTTGTCACTACTGGTGAGTCAAAATTTAATTACTCAAAACTCGAAACCACTAAACTAACCTTAAATAAGTATATAATCTAGTTTATTTTCATGTTTATTATGACTCTATAACTTTTTTTTGTCTGCTTTATTTCCTACTTTCTTTTGATTTTTTTTTTAATTTTTGAATTGCATTTTAATTAACCAATAGAAATGAAGGTCAATGCCAACTTAATTTCGATGTCCCATTTTCTCTTTGATTATGATTTTTTATTTTTTGATAAAAAAAAGTAAAATAATTTTTCAATTTTACAGCAACCGAAAGCGAAAAAAAAAATCCTAAATTTAGTTTTAATTTCATGCAAATTGCAGGTTCTCAAGTTGGAACAGATGGATCAAACATATACGTAGAGGGTCTAAATCGTAAACTTGCATATCCATTTGACATGGGTGGTGGCCTAGTTAATCCTGAAAAAGCATTGGATCCTGGTCTCATTTACAATGTCACTATAGAGGATTATTGTCAATTTCTCGCCTCTATAGGTTTCCTTGATGCATCGATTTCTGTTTTAACCAACGTGAGTATAAACAATTCCAATCGAAAAGGCTTCTCTGCATTGGATTTAAACCTTCCTTCTATAACAGTCCCAAATCTGAGAAATGGGGAGAAAGTAATAGTGACAAGAACTGTGACAAACATTGGAGATGTAAATTCAGTGTATAAGGCCGTGATCGAGGCTCCTCCAGGCATAAAAATAACGATTGAACCCCAAATTTTGAGGTTCAATTCAACCATTAAAAGCTTGTCGTTCAAAGTTAGCTTCTTCTCAAATCAAAAACTGCACGGATATTACAAATTTGGGAGCTTAACTTGGAGCGATGATAAGCATCTTGTGAGGAGTCCCATAGTAGTTCGTGTCATCGCATTTAAATCATTTTCTGATCAATAAAATGTCACAAGTTTATTAGTACATTAATATGGGGCTGATTTTACCGTGTGGTTTGGCTGTTTAAGGATTGTGTTTATCCCCCTTTATCTTGTTTTGGACTTTGTCGTATGTATGGCCTTTTATTGAAAAAATAAATAAGTGTTTTTATAATTACCTTTTATGTTAAACTTTGAATCATGTTTTAGTCATATAGTAGGTAATAAATTACGAGATAAGTTCTTAGTTTAAATAAGGGAGAAAGAGGAAAAGAGGCCAAGACTTGAGATGAATTAAAATTAATAGGCTAGTAGTTTACATAAGTTAATAAATAGGCCAAATTATTGTTTTCGTCCATAACTTGTCTGGTTATGAACCATAACTTGATAAGTTATTGTCCATAATTCACGGTTTTTGTCTATAACTTATCTGGTTATGAACCATAACTTGCTAAGTTTGTCCATAACTTTTTTGGTTATGAACCATAACTTGACAAGTTATGGTCTATTAATTTCTATAACTAAAAGTTGGCTTATATACTTCCTTAAGCTTTTCACATTGGCCTATTTTCTACTATTTCCCTTTAAATAATTTGAGCTAATTAGCATTTACGTCACTCATGTATATTTCACTTGTATTACATGTTTTCTATCTTCTCATCATACCAAACCACATAAAGATGAAAAAAAAAAAATGAAAAAAAACTTCATTCCTTTTCTTCACATGTTTCATTATTACAGAGAGTATCAAAATAATTTTATTCATGTAAAAAGCAAATACAACTCAACATTTCAGCCAAAAAAAAAAAAAAAACAACAACAACATTTTAGCCGACAGTTTTGTACAAGAAGTTACGCACTATTGATCCAATTATCGATCGCATGAACATTAAGACGGCCTACCAGAGCCATGAATTTATTTAGTCATCGTGAAAGTCGTCATCAATTTGCAGAACCTGATCAGTAATTCTCCATAAAGCGCTTGTTCTTTTAGAAACATGATCAGAATCCCCCGATGGGTAGTCTACAGAAGGATTAGTAGGAGGAACTTCATAAATGTTTCGTGAATTCCGCAAAGTACTACAACATGATTGCCCTGGCAGACTTCGTGTTAGCCGCTCTGTGCATATTCCCCTACAGTTTATAAACACGAAATAAGATGTGCTACATTCTTATCAATCATACGCGTTAATCAATACAAGTATAAATCTCATCAAGTCGCCCATGCTAACAATAAGAAAGCCCCGACTGGAATTTGTACAAGAACCAAAACTTAGCTTAAATCCTGCGATTCGTACTACTTAGCATATGTTCAGTTCACAAAAGAACTAAGATTTATGATCGTCCAACATCACCAATAATCCCCACAGGAACACGAGCCATCTTGAAAATGGTGAAATCTGTTTCCGTCTCGGATAACAATCTTGCGCTGGGAAAGTTTGGAGACGAATTTCATAAACAAGTGACAGTCCCCACATATTCAGAGGTTCTTCAAAACTTGAATTGGACACCGATCTGGTGTGTGCATGATCCCATACACAACTGCAAGCTTCTCACTGTGGTAGAGAAGCTCATCCTGTTTCTGCTCCTCTTCGACGTCGTGATGAACAGAGTTTGTATCTGGCACATAACCTATTGCTTTTAAGCTCTGGTACAAGTCATTCAGTTTTGTGTTGATCTCTTCAAACTCATAATGTGCCTTATCCCCCATTCGAAAACAATGCACCTCATTTCTGATCTGAATAACTGCAGGTTCTTTGGAAATTCCATCGTCTTTCATCAACTCTCTCATTTCCCGTACCTTCTCCCACATACCTTGAGATGTATACATATTTGATAATAAAACATAGCTCCCGGATCTTTGCGGCTCCATTTTGAAAAGCCTTTCAGCCACTCTCAGACCAACTTTGTTGTCACGATGGATCCAACAAGCAGCAAGAAGGGCTTTCCAAATTACCGAATCTAATTTCACGGGCATGTTTTCAATGAGAGCTTCGGCTTCAGTTAGCCGCCCTGCTCTGCCAAGGAGATCAATCATACTGGTATAGTGATGAACCAACGGGGTAATCCCATAATCTTGGCTCATGGAATTGAAATACGCCATTCCCTTTTCCATGAGTCCAGCATGGCTACAAGTGGTTAAAAGCCCCAAAAAAGTGATTTCATTAGGCAAAACCCCAAAACCTCACATTTGTTCAAAAATCTTAACAGCTTCTTTACCTAATCCGTTTTGTGCACAGCCAGCTAAAACAGCATTCCATGTTACAATATCTCGGTCCGGCATCTTTCCAAAATGTAAAGGCCATCTAGACTCCCACACTTGAAGTACATCGTCATCAGCGCATTACACATGCCCAAGCATGAATTCAGTCCAAGTTTGCGGATCATGACATGAATCTGTTCCCCAAGTCTTGTTGCACCAAGACGCCCGCAAGCACTTAGGAGGCTTATAGCTGTTAATTCATTTGGTTTCGTACCTCTGGCCAACATTTCAAGGAACAACTTAGAGGCAGTTTCTACTTCCCCTGCCTGCTCATAAGCTGATATGATAGAAGTCCAAGATACCACATCCCATTTTGACATCTTTTCAAAAATCGTTCGAGCTTCCTTCAACATGTGCTTGTGTGGAAGACCCGTAATGAACGGGTTCCAAGATACACGGTCTCTCGCTCGCATTATACTGAAAACTTGTGAAATGTCTTGTGCATTTTTGCACTTTCCATACAACGAGATCAAGCCATTTCCGACAAACAAATTGAATTGACACCTTGTTTTAATGGTAAGTGAGTGTATCTGTTGACCAATCACAACATCTCCAGACTTTGTACAAGCAAAGAGAGCACTCGTGAAACATGAACGGCTTAAGTCGGTTCCCGATCTATGAAGTTCAGCAAACAAATTCAGAGCTTCTCTGTATTGTGCGCTCTGTGCAAACCCAGATATAAGGGCTGCCCAAGAAGCAGAATTGTGGAGGGGCACTCTCATAAACATATCTTTTGCTTCTTCAAGCATTCCGTTCTGAGCATATCCAGCGATAATTGCATTCCACGTAACCACACTTGGGTTGATAATATCATCAAACATGCGTCTGGCTTCATGAATATTCCCACTCCGAGCATATGCAGCCATCATTGTCGTTCGTGTAGCAACTCCCTTCTCAGTAGCCCTCTCATACAATGAGAGGGCATCATTTAATCTGCCACGCTGTGAAAACGCCGCAATCGTTGTGGACCACGTGTACTCGTTCCTTTCAAGCATTGTCTCGAAAAACTTTATAGCACTGTCCAAGCTCCCGCTTCTTGTGTAAGCATTCAAAATCGCTGTCCCCACAACTACATCATCCTCATATCCTATCTTTACGCTCAAAGTTCTCAAAGTCTCGACCAATCAGTGCGCTTTAACTCCAGTCACCGCTGATAAAGCAACAACAAAGATAGCCTGGTCCGGCCTCATTCCACACCTCAACATCATCAAAAACAGTCCCCACGCCTCTCGATACTCGCTCGTCTCAACATACCCCGAAATCATAACCATCCAAGACAAATAATTCCTCTCCTCCATTTGATCAAAAACCTCACGAGCTTCCCTCATCATTCCACAACGACAATATCCCGTGATCATCGAATTCCACGACGCGATGTTTCTCTCAGGTATTTCATCAAACACCTCTCCAGCTCGCTTCAGGTCACCATTTTGCACGTACCCACTAACCATGGCATTCCAAGAAACGACACTACGCTCCGGCATTGACTCGAACAGGCTCCTAGCTTCATCCACGAGCCCATGTTTCGCAAACCCGGTCAACAAAGTCGTCCAAGTAACAACCTTCTTGCCTCGGAAAGAATTAAAAAGCGAGAGCATCGCGCAACAGACCGTTCCGGGTGTATCCGGTAATCATGGAGTTCCAGGAGATGGAGTCTCGTTGGGACATTGAGTCGAACATATGGCGCGCCTCGTGAACTCGGCCGAGTTTGGCAGGTTGTTGAATCTTGTTATTGCATTGGATGAGATGGGTTTGGGTTCGTCGGAAAGGAAGAGGAAGAGCCGATGAGAGCGAGCGAAAATGAAGGAGACAATGATGTCGTAACATGGAATATAGCGGGAGGAGTAATTGTAAAGTCAAAATCTTTTATTGGTTTGATGTCTACGATCTTTTATTAGATCTTCCATGCTTTTTTGTTGGAATATCGGTTTTTGTTCCCTCTTTACCATGTATATCATTGTGAGTTATTGAAAGAGATGGTGAAATAAGTCATTAATTGGATGGATCTTTATAATATCGTGCCTCTTCATTCGTTGAAAAATGGGAAAAAAGAAAAGAGAAAACGTAAAATGATTATGTCCTTTTTCATCGTAAAATCGATAACAAGTGAAAGTACAAATCAGCTAGTTCCACGCATTCACAATTTCACGCACTATATGTATGTGTAACCATCTACATACATGTATTATATACACACATATATATATATACTATATGCAATGGTGCTTGCTGTTTCAATACTGATAAGCAGCAAAACCATCAAAAATTACTATACTTCTGAAAATCAAACTTCCAGAAATAAGAGATTGAATTTAAACCAATATATAAGTACTAACTTGAATGGTTACAATTATTTAATTAACGAATATAAATGACTTCTAGAATTGTAGTGATATCTATTTTGTTCAAATGATCATGTGAATTGTGATTTCAACAGCAAGAAAGTGAATTGTGATTTTACCGGCATGATCTTGCGGCCTGCGGGTGAAATTTTATTTTGAACCGTAATATTAAATTATGCAAAATTTTATACAACATTTTTTTTATTGTGATATAATATTTGATCAAATCTACCGTTTTATAAACATGTATTGCTAATATCCATCTCTAAAAAGCTCGTGATTTTTTTTTTTTTTTTTATAAAAAAGAAACACTAATTTCACATTCTCTCTCTCAATCATATATTTATTGTGTATATATCAACGTACGTGGGTGCATGATTGTGTTCACGAGTGGGTTATGTGAATAGATATACACACTATTGTTGGACCTGCTGCTGCTGGTTTGGTATTATTGGGTGATGAGTCTTATCTTGGAACGTTGGCTGTCGATCAGGAATTAAAACTCATATTATGACAATCGATAGTAGCTTGCTGGTTTGGGATATTGGGCAGCATGGAACTCACACAGCTTCAACAGCTGCTGGGAATTTTGTGAAAAATGCAAACTATAAAGGACTGGCTGGGGGATTGGCGAGAGAAACAATTACTTGGCGATCTACAAGGCGTTGTGGGAAGAGAGAGGCGCTGCATCTGATATTCTAAAAGCATTCGACAAAGCCGTTCGTTCAAGATCATATCCGTGTCTCATTAACAACAAGTCAGAGGCTGTGCAATATATAGCAGGAGGAGTTGGCGTATTCCAAAATTTAATATTCCATGTGTTAAAAGTTGATTATACAACATCAGTGGATATCTTGGCTGCAAAACAAGGAGGTAGTGTTACTTATGGCTTTTCATCATGAACTTCAATGGCATGTCCACATGTATCAGGGATTGTAGCTCTCATTAAATCTGTCCATAAGGATTGGTCTCCTTCTGTCATAAGATCAACTCTTGTCACTACTTGTGAACTTAGGACTCAAAAAGTATTCCAGACCAACTTATTTTCATTTCCCTCCAACCATAAACTTTGTTAATAAACTTATCTTTTCATTTATTTTTTGTTTTAAGCTCTTTGTTGTTCTTTTCAATAGACATATATTTACCAAGTTTACCTACCCTTTGATTCTTTTGGTTTTGTGTTAAAAAAATAAATTAAAAAAAAACCCTAAACCTAAATACGTGTGGCAAATTATTTCAACTTCTCAAGTTGGAACAGGTGGATCATACATATACGTAGAGGGTCCAAATCGTAAAGCAGCTAATCCATTTGATAATTGGTGGGTAAGTTAATCCTGACAAAGTATTAGATCCAGGCCCCATTTACAATGTCACAACATGGGATTATTATGTTCAATATCTCTGCTCAATAGGTTATGCTGATGCATCAATTTCTGTTTTAACCTACAAGAGAAACAATTACGATCGAAAAGGCTTCCTTGCATTGAATTTGAACCTTCCTTCTATATCAGTTCCAAATCTAAGAAATGGAGTGAAAGTCGGAGTGACAAACATTGGAGATGTAAATTCAGTGTATAAGGCCGTGATCAAAGCTGCATAAAAATAACAATTGAACCCCAAACTTTGAGGTTCAATTCCAGCTTCTTCTCAACTCAAAAGCTACACGGATATTTCAAGGTTGGGAGCTTGACTTGGAGCGATGGTAAGCATCTTGTCAGGAGTCCCATAGCAGTTCGGGAAATCAGATTTGAATCCCTTTTAGATGTTTAAGACGTCAACAAGTTTATTAGTACATTAATAGGGGGGCCGCTTTTACCAGTCTTTGAGTTTGTTTATGGATATAGTTTGTAATTTCCAGCTTTATGCTGTTTCAGATTTCTGTTGTTTCGGACAAGATTTAATCAACTGATCTAATCTCCCTGTAATATTGTACCGCAGTAAATGAAATTTGTCCCAGCTCTATAAGATTTAAAGTAGTGACTTTGACAATGGAAATGTAGTTAGCTCATTGGAATGAAGAAATGACACATACATGGTATGTAATTATATGTTGAATCCTGAATATTCCCGAAGTCCAAAACTATAATTTATATGCAAGGTTGGCCATAACCAGCCATATTTCTCGTTGGTTATCATTGGTTGCATGATTCATCACTCATGCAAACGACAACAAGCCTAATATTAAGTTCATTGCCAGTGAAAACATTGCTTAATTTTATTTAGTTTTTTAAATTAGAGTAACAAAAATTCACATGGATTGCAGCTCTGACCACTTCATCTCTATATATGAACGTTGTGAGCAGGCAAACCCAACAATTCTTATGAAATAATTCTTAAATTACTTGTTATAAAAAAATTAAAAAAAATTAAAAAAAAATCTTAGGTGCTCATGGAAGGGCATAAATTAAGATATGGGTAAAAGATTTACATCAAAATCATCCAAGAGTTCCTTCTCCATGCATCAACCAACATTCAAAATTCACCGGATATTGTTAACAGTGACCAAGTAAATTGATGAGACCCCACTATGCAAAACATCTCAAAAAATTTACTACTGTAACTATGCACCGAAAAGCAAAAGGCAGCCTCTATAGTTGCAACAATCGCTGTAAACTGCAGACTTGATTGCTGGGGCCGCTTCTTTGTATTTTCAAATGCTCAAGCTTGTTCACCAGTTGTTGGTCCACGCCCTCCTCGTCTACCACCACGTGCACCTCGACCGCGGGGTGCTGCTCTTGTGCGGCCTCTCGCCAGTGAAGGGGAAATTACTCCAGCTTGTCCAGCTTGTCTTAGCATAGCCCTCTGCCTGGCTCGTTCCGTCAAATTTATGGTGGTGGATGTACTACTAATGGGAGAAACCTGTTTTACCTCTTCTGATTCCGTGACAATACGAGGACTGTTTTGTTTCGATACAGCAACTTCTGAAGTAGTTGCTGCTGAAGTACTCTCGGGGGCAACTGAAGCAGCTTCAGCAACCTGATCAATCTCCACTGCTGCTTGGTCGTTAACGTCATTTGACTTCTCCGAACCTTCAGCGGCTTCTTCAGGTACTTCAACTTCGTCGTTCTTCTCGTCATTCTGAGTTTCCTGAGAGTTAATCTCGCCAAAATCTACCGCGGCAGTACCAATGGCTTCATCATCAACCCTAGTTGGTGAAGCCGCTGGAGTTACTGATGGCTCTGGTTGCCCTTCGCCTACTAGTTCAGGGCTGGGTGCTACATCAACGGTTCCCTCAAGTTCTGCAGCATCGGGCACCAGCTCTCCCTCTTCTCTCTCGCTTCCAGTTTCTATCATGGGTTGTAGGTTCTCAAGATCAGCCAGATCATGTGCTCCCTCATCAGAGACCATCTCTTTCCCACCAGCTCCTTCCAAGTTCTCTTCCAAAACAATGTTGTCGTCTTGCGAATTTTCAACTTGACTTGCCTCAGCTAACTGCAGCTCCCTTGGCTCCTCAGCTTTATCCTCGGTGGTATCAGCCTCCTCCTTTTCAGCATCAATGGCAACTTCCTCATTTGAAGCTTGAGTCATATCACCAATATCAATGGATTCTTCGATGACCGGAAGAGTATCGAGATTTTCCAGAGTAGAAGAAGCTTGCCCCTCGCCACTAACTGGCAAGGAATCTGAACCTTTTGATTTCTTCGTTAACGGCGCTGCCACATCGGGGCCAGTTTCTACTTGGGCAACCGATTCTTCATGAGAACCAAAAGCAGAAGAAGACGAAGCCAGACGTTTTCGAGCCAGTGTTTGCGTCAGAGGCAGAGAAGAGACATTGCCTTGAGTTTCTGCATCACTGGGAGGAGCAGTCTTGCCACCATTGTTGGGCCCTTCTATCTCAGACATCTCTGTATCACCTTGTTGTTCTTCTCGTTTTACAAGACCTGTATCACCTTGTTGTTGTTCTCCTTGTTTTACAAGACGTGACCTAACCAACCTTCTTGGCATTTTGCGAGATTCAACATTAGCTTTGGGTGCAATGTATCTCTTTTCACTTTCTTCAGTTGATTTGGCAGGAACACTTGTAGCTGGACCCACAGAAGATGAAATACCAGGGGGTTGAGCAGGTGCTACAAGACCTGATATTAAATACCTTATAACTAACTGAATAAAATAAAGATATAACGCAAGAAACTGAAAATAATTATCACTAAAAATGATACTATATGAAAAAAGTGAATCATAGAAATTTAAGTGCCGAGAAGGACCAGTTGTAGCTGCAACTGTAGAATCAACAGGTGGATTTGGAGCGTCTGTAGGAACAGCGAGGGCTCCAAGCTCAATGGAAACTGCACGTGCTGTTTTTTCAAAATTTTCAACAGCCAAGACATAAGCATTTACGCGATCATCCAATGCAGTTCCAGATGGTTGCTGAGTCAATGATATACCCTGAGGTTTTTCAATGGAAGTTAAAATGAAGTTATCAAGGAAGAAAACTCAATCCAAGACACAATCTAGAAACAAAAGATATGTTAAATGCGATAAACATAGATTCTAACGGAAAAAAACGATGACCAACATATTAGCAACTATTGTCCAAGATTTTCCACTCGCCAACATGTAATAACCAGAGAAACACACACGAATGCACACAACACTTAAAAAGGTTAAATTGGAGGCAAGCCAAATAGGAAATCTCATTGCCACCTCTGGAAGACTTTCTTTGGCAGGCTTAAGCTTTTCAAGTTCATCTGCCAGTCGCATTGAAGCTTGCTTGTGCTTCTCCAATTCATTTACAAATTTTGTCTTTTCCTAAAATGGCAAGGAAGATATCATAAGGCAGATGCTCCACAGAAAACCGGATATTGAAGACAAGTTGATAAAAGAAACTCACTTAGTCTACAACTAATGAACCAGCGTGTTTTTTGCATAAAAAATGAAAACATGATAGATGCCAGAGAAAGAGAGGGGAAAAATGATTAAAAAAAAAAAAAAAAAAAAAAAACAAACTTAAATCCTAACATTTGATCAAAGTAGTACGAATTATTAAATCTAAGAATTAATTTATAATTCAGTATCGCTTGGACTCTTTGTATCACAACGGACATGGAAAAATGAGACTTACAAGATTGACTGTTAAATCATCAATGAAATATAGTAACCAAAACATAAAAGGTCATACGACATATTAAGGTCATCTGGAAATCAGAAAATGAAACAGACGAAAGTTTATTAACACAAATACCAAAATCTGTATAACCTTAAAAAAAACAACAAAAAACAAACAAAAAAAAAAAAACAAAAAACAAAGCATTAATATCAACAAGAAAATCAGAAACAAATCCTTGAATAGGCCAAGTTACCCATAACTAATTAATATTAGCCTTGCAGATAAAATAACTAAATCCATGATATCTCAAAAGAATTAAATAATAACAACAAAAAAAGATGGTCAACCTGCTCAACGTTATCATAAGAATTCTTCACTAACTTCTCATTCTTCACACGCTTCCCTTTTTCTGCCTTCAATTCCTCTCTTAACCTCTCAATGTGCTTTTCAAGAATCTGGGTAAACATGGTAAACAACAGAAAATTACAACGGAGCAAAATCTTTTGACTAAACAAAATTTAAGAGAGAGAGAGAGAGAGAGAGAGAGAGAGAAGAGGTTGTTAAATGAACCTGAATTCTAGTGTCCTTCTCCTCCTTCATGGCCTGATCACTAGAACTATCCCCACCAGATCTTTTTGCTGCAATCAATATTTATATAACAACCATGAAAAACTGAAAAAGCCAAACAATGATACAGATTCTCAGATGAAATAGACTAGCAATCAGTTTCTGACTACCTTGCTTGAGTTCCTCCAATTGCTTAGTAAGAGCTTGATTCTCTCTGCTCAGTTCCTCCTTCTCCTTTGACAAACAATCAAGCCTCCTCTATATACAGAAAAAAGAATGAACTTAAATTAGCATAAATAACTATATATTAGCAAAATAATTAGCATAAGTTATTCAGTAGGATAATTAAGTAATAATATAACTGCTTGGTGAAGATTACAGTATTTTGTTTCAACAACCTTTAGCTGAAAAACCATCTTCTTTTGCCTCTCCACTTCTGACTTCAAACTAGCCTGTGCATGTGAGATTGTGAACCATATAAGGTAACATTTGAAGGATGCATTAATGGTAAAAGGACAAGTTGTTTCAACAGAAATTACAAAAACAAGGTTGGCATAGTACCTCAGCTTGCAAACTCTCGTTCAACCTTTTCTCCCTCTCCGTCAATTCTAGTCTACAGTTAGAAAGGTCTTGCTCCAACAGTGATATGGTTTCCTGCCTTTCAGAGAGAAGTCTCTTGTTTTCCTCAATCTGAGAATCCTTAGCTTTTAGATTTTCCTGTTGGTAAAAATAAAATAAATAAATATTAACGGCAATATATTGTCTAAAGTTACTAATTCTTTGTTGTATCTGTCAATCAAATAAAACAGATTGTTTTTCTGGGAAGAACCCAATCACAATTCCATTACATCCTTCTACATATGTAATATTTCATCTGGTAGTTCGTAGCGATAACCAAAATGCAGAGTAAAAAATATATTTCTAGCCGGCTATTAAAACTAGTAAAAGAGAACTTGAAATGACTAAAAAGAAACACTAGGATGTCCCTTAGTAATGACAAATGACAGCTCACATAGTTTGGAATGGATAAGATATAAGTAGCACCATTAACAAAAAAGATAAAAAGCAGCTCTCTTTAGGAAGTGTTTAGTTAAAATACTTTGCAAACACAATTCTTTCAACACAATGTTTTAATTAAAACTGTAAAGAAACAGAGACCCTCCAACAAAGTATTCTTTACCCCAAACACTTACTCAATGTAAAGAGTCGTGTTAAATAGTAGTTGAAAATTAAAGTTTTCGTTTTTTATTTTTTTCTTATTTTTATTTATTTTTTTCTTGCAGTTGATTATTAGAGTTAGATATTATGGATTCAATTAAGAGAGATTTTCAACATGATATATCCATACACCAACTAAGAGCACAGCTATTGGGCATCCAAAGCCCAGTTCCTCCCGCATTTTTCAGACAATTAAAGTCTGCCAAATACACAAATCTTAATCATAAAAGACACATACAGACAAAAAAAACAGTTAATTCCTTTTCTCTAAACAGACCATATAAACCAATTAGTTGAATGTTATTCCTATAAGGTTACTTATCTTCCCAAACATTAACTCAACATAAAGAGTTGTATAAATTATCAAGTGACAAGTAATTGAAAATGACTGAATTAAAACATAAACCAGAATAGACATTGAATTTCCTTAGCATCGAGCTCATATAGTGACTGAATTTACCCACCTGCATCTGCTGAACATCATCTTTCAAGCGATTATACTCGTTCATGTCAATATTCCTACACCTTTCAAGTAACTTTAAAGGGGGAAAAAACATACGTTAGAATCATTATGTAGAAAAGTTATGCACATGGATGCACGGCAATAGTACGTAGACAATAAACGATGAGACAACATACATATGGTATGACTTAACTATCATAACATTTGTTTAGCATTTAGGTTGGAGCATTAAATAGCATGTCCTCGACTAAAATGAGGGAGAGCAGGTGGAATAAGAGAGAAAACCATTTTCCTTTATGAAATAAACACCACAATTTTTACAACTTTCTTCTGTAAATAAGTGAAATGAATGATAAAAATGTAGATATAAATTGATACGTGTGTGCGTGCGCCAACAGAAGTTATCTATGTACATGTCCAGGGTTGTTGCATTTCTGTTCTTTTCTGACTGCAAAAGTGGAAAAGAGAGAGAGAGAGATTCTAATACCTCAGATACCCTCTTTTCTAGGTTTTCCTTCTCCAACTTCTGTATTTCAATTTCTTTTTTACAGGCTTCCACCTGAATCTGACTCTCCTTTATGAGTCTTTCTAGGTTCTGGGTCTCAGCATTAGCTTTTTGAGCCACTTCACGCAATTTCTAAAAGTCATTCCAAGAAGAAATATTTGAGAGTGATAATGAAATAATAGCCATGTATACTATCAATTTCTCTTTCATCATCATTATTATTACAAATAATAAACCACAGTGCTACCTGGCACTCCTCAAAATTATGTTTGTTTTCTTCTCTAAGTTGAGCATTGCTTTCACGAAGTAAGGTCATTTCTCTAGCCTGCAAAGTATTTTACACAGAGACTATAGTCATAAGGAAATATACTTGAAAATAATACAGGATAGCTCCAAACATTCTTCTAAAATATATATGTCAAACAAGGCGGAAAATACAATAATGGCATAAAAAAAAGCAAATGATTAATTTAGATAATTAAAGTGAAAATGGAGAATATGAAATTCCTATGAAACGTTTATGACAAATAAACTACACTAGAGTTCCTAAGAATGGACTATCAAAAAATAAATTGAAAAACAAAAAAAAACAGAGAGAGAGAGAGAGAGAGGGAGAGAGAAGAAAAGATCCTATGGGTGTTTCATGAATAAATGAGAATAACCTGTTGTTGAAATGATTTCATTTCCTCCTCTGTAAATATGATTGATCTTGACGTTGCACGCTCAGCTTGAAGTGCCGATTCGGCAGTTTCTGCAGCCTTCAGAGCACTCTCAAGCTGAAAAGCAATAGACAAAAATGAGATTGTCAGGTAATCAAAGGCTACCCAAGGGAAATTGACCGTAATAAATCCCACAATCTAGTAGATAAAGGCAATACAAAATAGGCTAAAAGAAAGAAAATCTAGATCAAAGCATAGACAGCTTGTTTATGAGAATTAAAACATTGTCATATAAATGGTTATTCGGAACTTATGGTATTACACTATCAAGATCAAATTTGAGTTGCGGATTAATAAATGGAATCTGAGTAAGAGTTCGTTTCTTTTCTTTATGTTAAGTTTATTCTGCATATTAGCTTGAGGTTAGGGATTGCTCCAGAGTGAGATTTCAGGAAAATGTGGTATGGGAAGTTATTTCTCTCACGTTTTTGTTTCCAGTATTGTGAAGAATTTCTTCTATTCACAAGAGTCTAATTCCTTCGTTCAAGCTCCCATGTTGTTGGCTACTTTGGAGAGTGTGGAGGGGTGTGATGGAAAGGATTAGACAAGTTCGGCAGTTTGATCCAATTTGTGCAAATCCATGTTTGGCAAAATGATCTAGAAATGCTTTGGGATTAAATATGCCAATTTTACTTGAATTTTTCCCATATTAGGACCATGACATATTACTTGATTTTTTCCAAATAGGAAACATTTTGAAATTCTCTAGGAAATGAAAATTGACCAGTTAACACGGTCAAAGGGATACAATTCAGTAAAATATATTTGGACAAAGAAGGCACCATCGGATAACAATAATAATCGTGGAAGCGTATGCAGAATGCTATACCTAGTTGTTTTTTTTATAGGCATATCTAGTTACTCTTTGCTCAATATAATTAACAAAAATAAAAGCTATACAACCAGTGTAAATTTAAACACACCTGTGACTGCAATCGCAGTTTTTCTTGTTTCAGTAAAGAAATCTCCGTCTCTGCCTGTTGAAGACAAAAATGAAGTTAAATGCAATTAAAAAAAAATTGTCTACATGGCAGAGAGAGAGATCCTAAGAAAACATACAATTTCTCTTGACCGCCGCAGATAATTTATCACACTCTGTAAACCGGAATCAGTGGAAGTATCTGAACCAGCACTTCCTCCAGACAGTCCAGAAGAAAAACGATCTTTCTCTGCCAATTGAATGTGTAGAGCCTCGAGTCTGCTGTGCAGAATTTTGTTCTGAAAAGAGATAAAGGAAGCTTTAGAAGATATGTATTTGTATAACAAATTATGTTTTCTTTTTTTTTTTTGGCCAAAAAACAGACTATGACACTATTAATTCCTCAAGGCATATAATATGCAACCTATGATCAACACAACAACAAAACAAAAGAAAAAGAAAAGAAGAGAAGAGAAAAGAAAAAAAAAACGGCATTCATATATACAGCTTTCTGATTTGTTGGGTGAAATAAAAACAAATCATATTGCAGCATCACCATTAAAATAATAACAATAATAATGATGTTGATAATAATAATAAACTAAAAAATGGCATATGACAGCTCAAACATCATAAATACAGCACTTACAGCATATAGCAATTACCTGTTCATTAAGTTCATTGTACTTCTTCTCAGCATCATTCTTGGATTGCTCTATAACTGCCTTCTCAATTTCCCACTTTGTCTTTAGTTCACTCTAAAAAAAAAAAGAAAATCTGTATCAACTTCCATCTTGCATGCCATCAAAGCAGGTTGCATGCCAAAGTAGCTTAATAGGAAAAAGAAACAGGACAACAGGACTTACATTTTCTCTTTTCTGCACATAAACCATTTTACGCAGCTCAGATGCTTCGTCTTGGAGCAAACCCAAATCCTTTGAAGTTTTATTCAATTCTTGAATTGTCTCCGACAGGAGGATAACCTGGGAGAAAAATCATAAAATATGTCGGTGAGACTAATATTTTTATCTTTCCCTGGTACCGCAATGCCTATATCATATATATATATATATATATATATATATATATATATATATATATATATGTATGTATTCATTTTATGCATATATATATATATATATATATGTATGTATGTATGTATATGTGTTGATTTGTGTAATTATAACCGGATTTGTATAGCTGTAACCATATTTGTATAGCTTATTGTAGGAAAGTTGACTCTAGAGGATTGATACTAATCTGTGATTGATAGCCTTAGAAAGTTGCCTAATTGGGTTAACTAATTTTTGGTTAGTTTCCTATTCTGTATTTGTAGAGGAATCTATATATTGTAATGCTTTTCTTATTCGGTGAAATAAGAAGAAAACACATTCATTCTTTCAAACTCTCAGCTATTTCACCACAATATGTATAGCTGTCATCCCACACTGGTACCAGTGCCTCACAGAAATTGCTGGATTGGTTCCACTGATTAATTGTACTAACCTAGTTACTAACCTTTTTTACTATTTTTTTATTATCCTTGCTTCATCTACAACCGCCCAATTACTTTTAAACAGTCAAGCTCTGGTTAGGTACTAGTGCCCAAAGGTTCAAACTGAACGATGGCAGCCATGTATATTTACTTATTAAAAGGTCATCATCCTAGAAAAAATAACAAGCGAATCGCCAGTTGCCCCTCCTCAACTTCAAATTCACATTCCTCGCAACTTTGAAGAACCGTTGTTTCTAGGAACTTTTCACGAATATTCTTCAATTAGAACTCTGCTTTGCTACCCCCCATAACCCCAAAGGAAGCTCCCAAAACCAAAGAAAACACACTTAAAAGGGCAGAGGCATAAAATTTTCAAGCTCTTTTGAACACAGGGAAAAAAAAAAAAAAAAACATCATTTTAATGGCCCACTTGAACATTTAAGTTGCAAGCTAGCAAGGCCATTAATGTTAACACAAGAATCAGCAGCAAGAGTAGATTAGAGATACTACTAACATGTCTCTGGTAATTAGCCTGAGCAGAACACCATCGCTGATGTTCCTTCTCTAAGTCTTCTTTCAAAGAAGAAATCTGGATCTCCATTGTCACAATTTGAGACCTGGAGTTCAAGAAAGAAAGAAAAAATGAAGCCCCAAAAAGGATTGTGAATTTAAGAAAACAGCACGCACCAGGAGAAACTCACGCTTTGGCTGAGTTCGCTTCTTTTAGACTTCCGATTTCTGTTAAAGCAGAAGAAAGAGCCTCCTCCTTCCCTGCAGCTGCAGAAGCCACTTCTTCAGACTTCAAACTAGATTCATTTTCAAGTTCTGAGACCTTCTCTCTAAGTGAAAGAAGTTCAGCTTCTAGTGATCTCTTTAGCTTTTCGGCCTGTCATAACATTTTAGAGGACAGAGACAAACTACAGTCAACCATTATGGTAAACTTTGATAATCGATTAAACAAAAGACAATCGACATTGGTACCTCAACTTTGTAGTTTTCATGGGCACGTTCCATCTGTTTTAGGGCATCTTCATTCACTTGAGCTATGTTCTTATACTGCAAAAACGAATAAAAGGAACTATTAGTTTGTATGGCTTTAACAAATTGAGCATTATACAGAGTAAAGAGCAAAAACCTGTAGCATGTGATCCTTGTAAGCCTGTGCTTCCTCTCTCAATTTCTCAATCTCCTCCTTTGCTGCCCGCAAATCAGCAAGAACCTACACCATGTTTTACAAACCAATGATCGACTTTGAGTTCAACACATAAAGGCACATTACTGGACATAATTCTCCAACCATACAAGAGCATACCATCAAAGTTCAGAAAAATTAAAATCTCAATCCGACAAAGGTACCAAAATCCACACAAAAGATAACAAAGTGTTTTTTCTTAAGCGGGAAAAAGATAGAAAGAAAGAAACACTACTGCATTAAAGGGTAATTTTAAAAAAAAATGAAAAAATACTGAATCCTCATAATACTCTACCTAGTTAACCAATAAAACTGAAACATGTTGAGAGATTCAAGCTCCTAAAAAAAAAAAAAAAGGTTTTTTCTCCTTTTTTGGCTTGGTTTGCGAGAAAAGAAACAGAACCTAAGTTAATCCTTTAACTAATACACTGTTTGCAAGCAGAGGCACATATACAAGTTAAGTGATGCAAGTTTACATACTGGAGCACAACCAAAATTCAGAGTCCAACTCAGATTTGACACAAGCCTATACAACCCTTTTCTAACTAAGGTTGAGTACATCTGACTACTTTCAAGCTGGTCAAGGGTGAAAAGTGTGTTTAAATACTCCATTTGATTCTGAGGATCCCTCATCCTCTTCCTTTGTAATTTATTTTTATCAATAAAAGGGTTCCATTTGATTTTCAATTCTGAGCAAGGTAAATCTAAAACTAAGAACTCCCAATGTTTGCATAAGTTGTAATTCAGTATTCCATGCTAAATTAGGTGTGCCATAAAACAGGTTTCAGATTATTCAATCATAAGAAGCAAGATATCTATAGAATACCCATGCCACACATCACACATACATACATGTGTGTAGGTATGTATGTGTATCTTCCTTGTAAGAGACACAAAACAATCAAAATATTCATATCAAACAAACAAAAATAGAAGATTTTTGAATTTATTGTAAGTTGTAATTTGAAAATCATCATAAAAATTCAACTAGCCTGCTGCTATTTTAGCATCAATCTAAAAAGAAAAGATACATAAACAAAGCCCACTGACCTCACTGCTTGAAAAGGAGGACGATCCAGCCGCACCATTCATCTCAATATCCTACAATACCAGAACAGAAAGGGACAGGGGACATAAAAGAATTAGAAACATGCAAGTTTGTATCCAATTAAGAAACTTTTACCAACATTCAGCACGTCACGTCTAAAAGTAAGCTCAACTAAATATTCACAATAATAACACAGATCCCCACGAGCCAGGCATCCGTTGTCTCTGCAATTAGCGAGTAAAACCAAGATTTTTTTCTTTTATATATACAGGCACGTTGCATAAGCGTAAGGGGTTCAGTATGATAAGTAGAAAGATTAGATGGAAAATAACAAGAAAATACATGGAGAAAATGATGTAAGGAACCAAGAATTAGATAGCAACATCATCTTTAATCCTAAGCAGTGACAGATATTTCCCTAAACGCAAATCACTGTCACATTGAAACCCTCATCAAATAGTGTGGTTCTGAAAAATTTAGTAAAGCTACACGTTTCAAAAACTTTTCTCAAAACAGATTATCAGTGTTATGACACAAGAGAAGCTAGATCTTCATTGTCACCAAAGGCAACATTGCCGTTTCAATTTCATCTATTAAAACCACATTATTTTAGATAAAGTAAACTTAAAAGCTTTGGTATTCACCTGAGGGGGGAAAAAAAAAAGAAACAGCACACACACAGCATTCGAGAAGTACCTGAATATCTGAAGGTTTAATCTTTTTCTCCAAATCAGAGAGTTTGGCCTGAGTGAGCAAACAAATAAATAGTAAATCCTCTTAAATACATAATAATATATGGAGTCACGACACATAAGCAGATACACACACACACACACATATATATGAATGCATCTGAAAAAAATTTTAGCCCGCTTAGATGACATAAAATGAAAAAAAAAAAAAAAAAGAGGGGGGGGGGGGGGGAGGGGGGTGAAAAACCTCTGCTACAGCTGCTCTCGTCTCTGCAGTCCTAACAGTACTCCATGCATTAGCCAAGTCCTTTTGCATTTCTTCAACTTGTCTCATGGCATTTTTTAAGGTCCGTTCACGGTCAAGAGTTAGAGCTCTAACCTTATCCCGCTCTTCTTGCAGCTCTTTCCTAGCCTCAGCCCATTCCCTCTGTAGAGATGCAATTAACATACTTAGTCAATCTCCTAAGGTTTAAATAAGACATTGACAAGAAAAAATATTAAAAAAGATCAATTGATCACATATATATCTGACGCATCTAAACCAACCTTTGGGGGGAAGAATTGACCAAAAAAAAAGAAAAAAAAGTACGAATTGAGAACTGATAATGGTAATACCTGAATTTGTTTTGTGTGCTCTTCCTGTTTTCTCCTCTCTGCCGCTCTTGCCTCCTGAAGTAAGGTGGAACATGTAAAGTCTAATGTCACAACAAAACAACGAACAAAATCATTTGTAAAATAAATAAATAAATAAATAAATTCATCAAAATTAACTACCTCACGAACTTGCTCTGTACTCTGAATAGTATCCAAACTAACCTGCATAAAATAATATGAGAACATATGCAACAATTGTGAAAATGGATCATATTATCTTGGACAATACCACCTGCAAGCGATGGACCCTCTGCGACAAATTACGGACTTCATCTAAAGCCCTCTTCTCTGCATTTACTAGCATTTCCTTTTCGTTCTTCAGAACAGAAACCTGTTGGTAACAACATACAAAGTGAGACCCACATATCAACAAACAACATACACATGAAGTAGTCTTATAACATAATGACATGACCTCCATATTCAACTTCCTAGAAAGCTCCTCTGCAGCATGCAAAGACTCAGAACTTTCACGCAGCTTCCTTTGGTAGTCAACTATTATCTGTGAGAATTCCACGTTCCTCGCTAAAACACCATTGGTTTCAGTTCTCTGATATAATACGAGTTGCACAAAATAACAAAAAGTTCAGGCACAGATCACTTCCACACTTTTTATCTGTAAAACGTATATACAGAGCCTGATGTTCTTAATTCTATGATCACCTGATGCTCAAATTCTTTCATAAAACTGTCAAGTCTCTCTCTAGCAAAATTTGATTCCAAAGCCAACTTGTCACGCTCTAACCGTAAAGATGTGATCTCCATCCTATAAAAAATAAAAAATAATAAAAAAAAATGAGAGAGAGAGAGACTCACAAACCATTGCCATGAAGCAGATCAAAATTTGAAAGAAAAAAAGAGAGAGAACGGCTAAATACGTTGAATATGTAAGGCTAGTTTAACAAATAACACAAAAATGACGTCTATTGAAATATAATCGAGATAATCCAACAAGAATCAGGCATGAAGAGATCAATCAAATATCAAGGTACTTGATTATTGCAACAATATGTTGCCCGAGGTTTTTTTTTTTTTTGGCCGAAGAATGCACCAAATTTAAAAAAAATACAAAATTTAACGTCATATATATCGAGAACATATATAGCTAAAAAGAACAATGGGGTAGTATAACGAGTTCTAGAAGAATGACGATTTGGCCGAAGCACAACAAACTGCAAAGATGAAAACGCATCTCAATTTAACACAAACTGAAGACCGAAAAGAATTCTTTTTTTTATTTTGAAAATTCTCATAAACAATGTGAGTAGGCAGCACCTCAAACATAAGTGAAGCTATAGAATAATAAGTGCAAAAGAAATATACAAAAGATTGGGCCTAAAAACCACATAAATGGCACACAGAAGAAATGAAGGAAATCAAACAAACTAAAGACCAAAAAGAGCTTTTTTTTTTCTTTTTTTGCAAATTCTCATAAACAATGTGAATAGCCAGCACCTCAAACATAACTGAAGCTATAGAACAATAAGCGCAAAATATATAGAATAGCTTGTGACCAAAAAACAGATAAATGGCACACAAAAGAGATGAATTAATATATATTAAAAAAAAGGAACCAAGAAAAACATCAAATGTTAGGTCATATGCCAACGAAACCACATTAAAGGGGAGGGACGTAAAGCCTTGGATTCAACTGACAAGAATAGGCACTGGAAACTTCACAAAATAAGATCCAGATTCAAATGTAACAGTTACCGAGATTTTTCCAGCTCTTCTTCAAGACATTTCACTCGCTCTGCGGCCTTCTCTTGGGCCCTTTTAGCAGCTTCCTATTTTATTGTGTTGTTTATGAGAGAAGTTATTGGAGTACAAAACAGTAATGAGAAAAACCATTTCTTAATTAAATCTCTACTGTACCTGAGAACCTTCAAGAAGCAACTTGAGACTGGTTCTTCCATCTTCTGCCCAAAAATAAATAAATAAATAAATAATGAATCGTTAATGTTGATAAAAGAGAGCAATTTACGAACAAATCCGTTCCACGGTTCTTAAGCTATGAACAACTATATCCCGTCTCGTCAGTTCATAGAGACATCCCGATAATCATCATTTGTTCATGCAGTTAGTCTGACCAACAATATTTTATGAACCCCAAAACATTTGTTGATGAGCTGGACAGATTGTTAGTGATTCTGGTTCTTTTTGCTTCCCTTGGTCAGTTTACTTTTCTCATTTTTTGGAGGATTTTAGATACTACAGTCTCCAGCTAGTGCAGTATTTGTTTTTCAGCGTTAGTAAGATTGTCTTGGTAAGGACTCAAGGTGACAGCTATATGCTTAGCATAAAGTTGGAAAGAATTTCTATATAGCTATAATTTTTAATGGAATCATTCACTTCTCTCAGTTATAGACCAAGATCATTCACACATATAATCATTGTGAAATTTGTATCTTCTCATTTGACAAAAACAAGAAATTTATTGAAAACAAAGAGGAAGATTGATAGACAACCGGAAGATTGATAAACAACCAAACAGAAAAAGCTCATCAGAGGTCAAAAGGGTAATCAGATAATAAAAAACAATTCAGTGAAGGATAACTGCATTACGATTTATTTCCAACCAACCACCCCACTAACCTAAAAAGTAGAATCACATAACAACAGAGAATCAAGCTAGCATTCTGATTAAGCATTTATAACCTCTATACTAGTGATTGTAAGATTTCAACACTCATAGCAAGACCCCAAAAAATATGTAAATGGAAGGTGAGGCACCACAAGCTAACAATATCACAACCACCATCTTTCCACCTGTTATATCTACCGTAAAGGAGATGGAATCTTTTTCCCACTAGTTTACACCTGTATTGCATCCCTTGGCAGAAATTCTAGAGAGTTAGTGAACGAAAAATAGATGGGCAGAAACCTGGAGGAGCCTCTATGGAAAGAGGAGGAGTCGAATGGAGTTTGTGTTCCTCTTCATACAACCTTTTGTACATTGCAACCTGTGTTTTTGGGGAATATTAATGAAAACTTGACTATCCATAGCACATAAAAAAATAAATAAAATTAAAAGAAGAAAAACAAAATTAGGCCAAAAAGAAGCTCTGACAGATGTGTGAAGGGATTCAATCATGCGTCCTTGTTCTTCAGCTCTCTGTAACACTGCTGTAACTCTTGATGCAGCTTCTTCTGTATGTTTCTTGAGCTCCATTTCTAGTTTTTCCTGGATTTCCATAACAAAAAAGATATTTACCAACAAGTTTTTCATCTCCGCATGTGAGAAGTGTCCAAACAGATGAACTATTTGTAGAAAAACATAAATATATCACAGTCAACCTTGAATTCGTACTCCTTGTTTTCAATCTGATCAGAAAGATTGCGAACAAGACTCCTGAGCTGGGCATTTTGCTCTACCAGTCCATTTATGTCCTTGAAAGTTAACTGTTGCATCCAGTAAACCAAAAGGGACATTGATAATTTCAATTACACATGTGAAGATCTAAAGACAAATAAATAATAAAATCTGAAATTCAAATAACCATGCTGAGAAAAGAATCTGAACTTCAGAAAAATCACGTTCGGGAAAAAGATAAACAAGCTTACAAGACGTTCAGATATGACTTTCTCAGCATCTGAATCTGTAGTCATTTCAAAATGAACAATGGAAGAAGCATCATTCACAATATCTTTCATTGAAGACCCACAACGAATCTGTATGTCCCGGCATTCC